TCTCTTCTCACGAAGCTTTCCTGAGTCAACAACATGTTGAACATCCGGAATAGTGACTGAGGTCTCAGCAATGTTGGTAGAGATGATGATCTTCCTACACCCATCAGGGACTGGATCGAAGATTTCATCTTGGTTGTCTTTGAGATTAGAGTGTAACTTGAAGATGCGAAATTTGGAGGTATCAGAGAAGTCCACTCCTAACGGATTTTGAAGAAGAAGCTTCTCGGTCGAAACAATTTCTTGAAGTCCAGGAAGGAATGCGAGGATTGCACCTTCGGTCGTGGTCCGAGTAATGTGGGCAACCGTGGCGGCAACAAGGCTCACAGGAACGATAGCATCCTTCATATCAGTAGCAATGTTACCTGATGCATCTTGCCAATTTGTTACTGGTGAGCCGGAAGATCTAGCCCTTGCTTCATCATGAAGATAATCCTTAGTATCTCGATCTTCCAGTAACCGGAGGTCCCGCTGAGAGTAATCATGTTTGAGCTCTGCCATGATCGTCTCCAAGTATTTTTCCTTCACTGGGAATGTTCGTCCAGGGACGGAAATGGATGGACAGGGCTCAAGAAGCCCGTCACTACCCTTTTGCTGAAAATATTTCGAAAACAGCTCGGTGTCCATTGTCGCACTCATAAGAACCACATTTGGAACTCGTTGATTCGACCGCTGCCTCTGTTCAATGATCTTCTTCAGAGTTATCATGAGGAAGTCTATCAAAATATCCCGCTCGTGAACCTCGTCAATAATTATGTGTGATGCGGAATCCATTATGTGATCCGGATCGGTCTGCAGCTGCTTAAGCAATATTCCAGTGGTGCAGTAGGTCATCCGACCAGGCTCACGAGATGTCTTGTTATCGCCTTTGACGTGATACCCAACAGTGTCTCCAAGTTTTTCATCACGCTCTGATGCGACTCGTACTGCCACTGACTTGGCTGCAATTCTTCGTGGTTGAGTACATATGATATCAACATCTGCTCCTCGCTTCCCAAGGATTGCATCTTCGAGAATGATCTGCGGAACCTGCGTTGTCTTTCCACTTCCAGTGGCACCAACCACAATACTGAATGTATTGCTATTGACGAGTTGTAGAACTTCGTTTCGTCGCTGATTCATCGGGAGGCCATCCTTTAGAATCCGGACAGTCTCTAGCCTAGGGTCCGCCATGAAAGCTTCATATCGTTGTAGCAAGTCGGAACTTCTAAGATCTGTATTTTCAACGGATCTACGCCGGGTATGACTTGGATTTGACCAAGAGCGCTCTGACAGGGAGGATCGGGTCGTCTTTGCAGAAGCTGATGCTAAAAATGAACGGGACGATCTATCCATATCATTTAGCATGTCAGGTACGATATTGAAGTCGATCGGTCGTATGGGTTCTAGGATCTCTCCGTCATTTCCCCTCTCTGCATGTTGGAAATCATGTAATATGGAAGAATTTTGCTGTGCCAAATGTACAGCAGCCGTGAGCCAAGCTAGTGGCACAACGTCCTTTTTCGTAGGTGCAGTAGCAGGTTCGCCGACGGGTTCACCAGCGCAGTATGCTTGCGACGTAACACCCCCGGTAAGTGACGGTTCAGTCCTTTCTTCGAACTTTTCACAGCGTTGTCGCTTCGCGTAATACCGGAGGAATTGATCCGCATTCGATGTGTTTAGGAGGAGAGGCTCTTCAGACAGAGTCGGAATATTCCTGAGTTTATCCTCAATAGCTTCTTTAAACATGAGGCAGGCTTGCAATTCGGCCCTCCAAGGGTTCCCAGTTGATTCAACGGATATGTCCTGTGCTGGATAATTGATTTGAATCGTAAACATGCGCTTCTTCGAGATGAGATATTTTGGTACGGCTAGAGATCTTGCGCAAAAGTTGTATACGTCCCTCCTACTTTCGCTAAGCTTCCTAAATTCCTCCGCGGTCAGCGCTCGCTGGTTGACCTTTGCGGTTGGTCGTCGGGTTGATCCCTTTGATTTCGCGCCTTTCTCACTTGATTTCCCCAATCTCGGCTTCGATTTCGCGCCTTTTGCGCTTGATATTTCCAGTCTTGACTTTGATTTCGCGCCTTTTGTACTCGCTGTTTCCGATCTCGATTTTGATTTCATGCCTTTTGCTCGCGAAATCTCTGATCTCGATGTTGGCTTTAGCGCTACGGGTTCTCCTTGCTGGGGGGATTTCCCGTCACGACGTGGCGCATTCAGCGAGTCCTTCACCATCTGGCTTTCCGGTTTCTTCGTCCCCGCTAAATCATGGTTGTTCCCATTCTTCATACCCATAAAAACCCCAGGTAGGAGCTCATGTCTCGACTCGTGCCCTAGAATATTCACTGTAGACTTGAGTCTGTAGAGGCCCATGGATCGGGGTTCTGAAAGGAGGCGCCATCGTGATGGATACGTCGACAGCGCGGATCGTGAGAAGAGTATTCGAGGATTTGGATGCGCAAGACGCTTGTTAATTATTAGCGAACTGGAAGTTGTCGAGGGAATGGGACTTACCATATTAATTGAGGCGTAAGAATCGCATCGCAATCTCACTCAATAAATATCATGAAGTCGAAGCATCACCATACAGGAAATTTGTCGTAGATGCCGAACTTTTGCCGACACTAAATCCTTTTAGGTATAGCATATATCCTCAATCCAACGCGATAAACACCTACAATATTTATAGCAGTGCCCTATGTCCTCTACTCGTCACATATACCGTCGTCTGGGTATTAGAAATCTCACTCATCATAGTGCAACTGGCATGATGTACGACTCACTTCAACTCCCTTGGACCTTTAATCCATCGCCTTCGGAATCCCAATATCGTGACGCTGGAGGCGTCAACACCAAAGGAACGATCTACCTCCTGCCTCCACCAACTGAAGTACTCGAAGAAGCATTCAGAACCCCACCTCGAGCTCGGTCCGAGATGTCATCTGGCGCCATTGCTCTCTGCAAGCACTTCGAACGTGGCGGAGCCTCTTCAGAGCATGGAAGGCCACATCCATTCTGGACTCTGCCGGTTGGAAGTAATCAGAAGAAGGACGAGATTGCAAATTCTATCCTCCAGTCAATGCTAAACAACATTGCTTGGAAGAACGTCATGCTTCTCCACCGAAATGTTGCGGTGTACGAGATACGAAACAAGCTTGGATACGGGATGAGATGGACACTGGATGTTGAAGAGGTGAAAGACACTATCAGCTCGGAAAAAACCTCGGAACAAAGCTCGGAACAGTTTGGCGTAGTTGATGGGATAGAAGTCGCTGATACAATCTTGGAGGAGAAGAGGAAAACATACAACATCAACAAAACGACTTTTCGAGGATTTGTCGAGCCTATCATCGGCTTAGATTGCGAGCTTCAGACATAGTGGCATTCGCTACAAGTACGTTCGAGACACAAGTAAATGTTCTCTCCTACAATCTATCATGGCAACCGACCGATAGCAGTCCAAAAACTTAGGCATTGTAAATGGCGGTTTTTAGCGCAAGATAGCAAGGACGAAAATTATAGATAGGATGCCAATAAGTTGCGTGCTGAGACCCATTAACCAACATAAAGGAGCTCCACATCGAACAGTTGTTCTTGGTTGATGCGACGAACCTTGAATTACGCCCGAAGCATCAAGAGCCCCCGATTACACTTTTGTGCGTCCAAGGCTGTAGAAATAAAATACGCTAGCTTTGTATCGATTCAATTACCTTCTTGCAATTAGTCGCATGGAGCTTCCACCTGGTAGGCTTCGCGGTAACATGTCTGAGACTAGCGATAAGGAGCAGTTGCGGTAATTTAAACAGAGCCTCGATATATGTGAGGCTCAGCGTTTAGTTTATGCACCTCAAATGGTACTAGAAGTCCAACAGTTGGATGTGACGTATTTGATTATATAGTGCAGCAAGTTCTCGTCGGTGACTCGTTCATGGAGCAGAGCTTCAAAGCAGAGGGAAAGCAAAACCAATATTGACTAGAATCAGACTATGTCACCTTCGAGCCAGACTACTTCAGCCAACCACTCTAAATCCCCATAGATGACCTTGTTTTTACAAATCTTTGTTGTAACATCATTTAATGTGGCTGGAATAATCATTTACAGTATCAAATTTATACTATTTAGCTAAAAAGAGTGGGTCACACTAATGTCAGAAGTGATTATATTTGTTTGTAGCTGCGATTCTAACTGCTGATGGAACAGAGCTTGGAAATTTTTCCTTAAGTTGTGTATGGTCTTGCTGACAAGAGATTCGTGCAGCGACCGAATTCGATTTATTCTTATGAAAACATGGTTGAAGAGAAAAATATGAAGGAGCGAAGTTCTTGAGACTTCAACAGATATCGGTACATACACCTTCACTAAACCACGGCTAAATATGGTGTATTCGGCCTCAGAAAACTTCTCTAGAGCCATATTGACAGCAGTATCCCTTGTTACTGTTAGTATCTTTAGAAGTGTGCTGGAAAACGTCAGCATCCATTTTCATATTCATTCTATTGCAGAAATGGCAAGACTTGCCACATAATGAATATAGGCCCGAACGACAAAGTCGAGATAGCTTAAGTACCCCAACAGAGGCAGAACTGTGCACGATCGACAAGGAAGGATATTGGAAATATTCTCCTGACTTTGAAGTCTGATGGATACGAATACCGTAGAGTGCAAGTATTTTCCAACCGAATAGGCCTTATCATATGGTGACATAAATTAAAGCCTTAGGTTAATTCTACATGGCTAGATTAGTATAAGTTATTAATTCTTGATCCAAATGTTCGATTTGTTGATGTACTGTTGAGGTGGAAGGGTTTCCTTAGTTCAATTTTCTAACGATCGCCCAACGAGCCAAACTCGCCGTCGGTCCCCACATACCCCTCCTTTTTGCAATAGTGCCCACACATGTCAAAATTGCTTGTGGAACACACCTCCATCGCTCTTAATTCTATGGATCTGCTTGCTGTCTATTTGGAACATCCACTGATTATATCTTAACTAGATTTGAAAAATTGACATGAAATCAATTAACAGTCTCGTGGTGTAGTGGCTATCACGTTCGCCTCACACGCGAAAGGTCCTGGGTTCGATCCCCAGCGGGACTAAAAGAAGTTGTTTTTGATCCTTCCATCTCTGTTTTGTTTTTAGATACATCCTCATTCTGGATTACTCGGTCAAATGCATGAAAGCTTGACTGCTTCAATCAACGTTTTTACATAGTGAGACTGTATCAAAGCTATGCAACCTCTCTGCTCTGTGTGTATGCAATAAGTGTGCATGGTTACGCTAAGTTTTTTTGCAAGGGAAGAGAGTGAGCTATGTCACGTGACAGATCTTCCCATTTCAATTCTTTCCCGCTTTCCCACACATGATTACAATTGATGGGTCCAGGAAAGATTGATAGTATCTACCAGTAACATGAAACAAACATTCTGTCAGCAGCCAAAAGGAGTCGTTCGGTCTCGCGAAAGTGGTCAGACCTCGGCAGTGCAGAGCAGACGGACCACCTCACCTCTCACCCCACAATCACAGCATCTCGCCTGACAGTTCCCATCGCTCGGGCCGCAGAAATGCTCTCTAGCCGCGCCCCTCCCGTTTCTTAGCCTGTACGGTCCCATGGACGATGCACGTAATGTCGCGTGCATACCCGGGATACATGCGCGGCCGAGAAGCAACGTTGAGTCGTCGCGATTCCTTGGAAACGCTTGAGCTGGGGCCACGACACGACAATGTATCGGATCGGGGTTGTCAGGCGCTTGGAAACACGGGGAAGATCAGACAACGAGGTGTTGTGATAGGTGGGCTGATGTTGTGGGGTGCGGAGATGATGTCTGCGGGTGAGAATCTCATGACGGATGGGGCTGAGCAAGAGAGTATGTATATTTCCCTTCGCAAATCCGCGGGCGGGTTTTGGGCCACTTATTTGAGCACTGTTTCACAAGTCAATCAATATATCATCTACTGTGCCTTCAACAATCAAGCCCAACCTGACCCAACTTAATCAAAACCACCTACATCCATCTACCCACTCAGAATCAAATTCCCAGCTATAAATCCCATTGAAGTCCAAGACTTGTCGAAAACAAACTAGCCCTTTTGCTGCCATCCAACATCTGCTCCTGACTTCCGAATCGAAACTCGCCTAAGATGCCTTACCGTTCGCCGCTTCAAGTTCGACAACAACTCTTCTCAACATCATCCCGCACTCGTACTACGCTTCCGTCACACTTCCACTCGTACAATCCCGCAGCCCCACAATTTCCACTCACCACCGCTTCCGTTCCCAAGCTCGGAAAGATAGGACGATGGTACGTATTGCTGTCCTCGCTCTCTCATGCTCCCAAGCTGACAGTATGCTAGGTACCTCCCAACCATGGCTCTGATAGCCGTTGGTATGATCTATCTCCCAATCAGTTCATTATTGCCATCTTCGCCACCGCCGAGCCGCCGTACCGTCACCCTCGACTCGGCTAATCGCAAAATAGGTTTTGCTATTGCTAATGCGCTCGAGGAACACAACAATAAGCAGAACCAGGCAATGTCGCAAGACGAAAGAAACATGATGTTGATGGAGGCGTATGGGGAGAGAAACAGCCTCGAGGATATGGAGAGGGCGCTGAGTGGACATGGCGTGACGAGGGGAAACACAACTGGGCAGAGTCAGAGAAATAAGATGTTGAGTGAAGCGTATGGCGAGAGGAAGAGTTTGAAAGATATGGAGAGGGCACTTGAAGTTTACGAGGTGCAGTGAGCGAAGTGTACGACGTGGAAACGACCACCACCCGCGTGAAGCGGAAAGGATATCTCGTCTGGGGGTGAAGAAGACGAAAGGGGCTTCGAGGCGGAGGTAGTTCGAGAAGAGAGCATGTGTCGGGTCGAAGCTGTGGAAAGACACGTCCAAAAAATGAGCCGTGTCTTTCCCCAAGCTATGGAAGGCGAACCTCGATACAACCTGCCCATCTATGCATGTCGCAATGCGAGGAGGAAGGCTTTGGAATTATGTGGAGAACGGAGTTTTATGAAACTTCACGGAAGGCTAAGGCGAACAGAAATAGGGAAATGAAATCAAATGAAAATATCAATTTGATACTTGCAGCCATGATAAAATCACCATATTTTCTTTCCAATTAACTATTAAAAATTTAGCATTTGTGTTCCGAATCACCATAGTGTGAGTAGTAGGGTGCATATTCTTGAACCAATCGAGGGTTAGTTATTGAGAACCGTAGTAACACTGAGGCTCACTTTGCTTCTTGCCCGAACGCTGTTGCAGTATTGCATACGTGTCAATTCAACACTATGGGAAATTGGTGTTCATGCAGTTCGTAATATTCAGAAGCAAGATTCCCCAACTAAGTGACCACAAAGGGGTGCGTACCGGGTTGTCGGTCGTCTTGCACTCACTAAGTGGCAGCTCGCGAATTTCAACCAGATAGCCCAAGCCTATGTATCCTCGGTATTCATGCTCGCGGGGAAAGCTTGATGAGCCTCCTCCATAGTTGGGGATGAATTCCTAGTAGCCAGGCTGGCTGGTGAGTAGTTCGGCGCCGATCAGCACAATCATGTCATTATGATTTAAGTTGGACATGATAACGGTAGTGTAGTTTTCGGTACTGTCTCACATTGGAATACCTAGTGATGGTAAAGCATAGATATATATAAAAGAGCGTTATCCATGCTACATGTGCTAAAAGGGGGGCGGCATGTTGAAATGCTCTGCCAAGGCGTTTGCTACGACTGTTGGAGTCAGGAACACCAAGAATGAAATACAGTGAGCACTCCCAAGATCAATTTGGCATCAGCTTTCCCACACGTCTTAATAATCGCTTCCTCGAGAAATCACTTCCTTGCAATTGGGCCGGAGCAAGACGGTCTGTAAAACGTAGCCAAGTCAGCATATTCTCCAATCTCTTACTCGCGAGGCATACTCACATGCTCAAATTGGGCCACATAAGTACCAGGAACATCGACCAAGGGTGCATAGGACTCAACGATACCATTCGAGACGAGCGACCTCATGCCGAGGTGGTAATTCTTCACTCCAAGGCGTTCAACATAACGCCGGGAGAATACCAGAGTCCCGAAATTCTCGTCAATGGTCTTCAAGAGCGACTTCGCGGATGCGTGATGAAGGCCAGCTGCGCTAGCGTGTTCATTGCGTCCATAGCCGTAGATGCCGACGTCGTCCCGAAGATACCCTTTGCCAGTGCTTCCAAAGGTTTCGATTGCAAATATGTCGCCTTCTTCCATGCGCTGATTGGTTTTGGTCTTGACAAAGGGCACTTGCTTATCGCCATGAATCTTGTAACGCAGGATGTTGTGGCCGGTGATGCTCCGGACGGCTTTGACTGGGATAGTCTTGCGGTTGAGTTCCACTTCGTAACTTTCCATTACTTCTTGGATCGCTCCACTGATGTGGTCCATTCGGGCATCAATGCCAGCTTCCTAGGCGATGATTTGAGCTACAATCGCACAATACAGGTATCATTAACTTACCTTGAGTCCAGTGTTGGTAGCTGCTTTAACAGCCGCGAGTAGAGGATCGTAGACAGGATTGGAAGCCACGGTAAAAGCACTATCGACAATCCTGCCGTTAACATGGACTCCAAAATCTACTTTCAAAACGTCATCGTATTGAAGAATCACTTCTTTTGCTCCAGGATTGGGAGTCCAATGAGCAGCCACGTTATTCAAGCAGAGCCCAGTTGGAAACCCCATACCGGCTTTGAGAGCGTCTCCTTTTTCAAGGCCTTGATGGCCTGTAAGTGCCCGAACACCATCATCGATCTCCTCGGCAAGCCGACTCATGGAAACGCCGGGCTTTGCGATTGTCTGCACATACTGGCGAACCTGGCGATGAACTTCGGCAGCTTTGCGGTAGTCGTTCAAGAACTCATCGTCCATGCTGTCGACGATAGACATATGGCGCAGCTCTTCTGCGGTGGTGCGCTGAAGATTATCATTGCCGTTTGTATACTCGACAATCTCGCCCTCCAGATACTGCTGGTTGGGAAACAGGCTGGCTAGCGCAACTCTCGGAGGAATTGTCTGTTGTCCTTTCGGAACCTTCTTCTTCTTTTTATTACTCCTTTTTCTCTTCTTCTTGCCTATTTACGTTAATATCAAGGGTATTTCAGCTCAAAGATAAGCTCACCATCGGTGGGTTGGCCGGATATCAAATCGGTGCCGCTTTTGTCATCGTCGTCATCGTCTCCATCTTCGTCTTGCCCCTCAAGCACGCCATGAATGAGGCCACTTGCTGCGGCTGGTTTGGGGGGATTGGTGATACCAATTGCCGCGTCTCCCGATGCCTCTGCTCGAAGTGTTAGACTCGTTGGTATACCAAGGTATAAGTGTCTTCTTATGTACCATTTGGACCTCGACGATGGTCATCTGGTGTCCTAGAGCCCATGATGGAGATCGATCAGTTGTCATAAGATAGAATCCTTTGGTTGTCGTTGATGGACTTCGTGACTAGACTGCGGAGAGATTGCGGGGAATTAAAGGCTGCTGTCGCGTGTTCTGCTTGGCACCCGCTTTGCCTTTTGAGGCAATCGGTGCCTTAGTCGTCATCAAATAAACCTCAACTCTTCGATGTTGTGCAACATTCACGATGTTCAGGCTAGCCTCTATAATCAACCGCCCTGGTTGGAAGCAAGCAGCGAAAGGCCATTTCAACCGTGTACGAAATGTCCTCATCAAAGGCATGGGAGTTTTCTACAACATAGTGAACCTCCTCCGAGGCGCCGATATATAGAAAGTTCTTAAGCCATAGTTCCCGCTGGAAAAATCGCCAACAGTCACGCTGGAGCTCGTTTTAAAAAAATAGAAGTCACCTATCATATCCTGGCTACGGTCTTGACTGAAGCGCGACTACATTTACTTATGTAGAGTGCTTTCATAGTTAACTTTACAACAAGGCTAGGCAAAAACTAGGGCATGTTGAAATTGTTATATCTGACGACTACGTACTTGAATTATTTGTTATTCACTTCTTTGATAAAGGTATGTCAACCCCCTAATACAGCAAAACCGGAAGAGTTTCGCATTTTTGGATCACAATACATCACCGTTTTTAGCGATATACCCTTTTTTTAAGACTCTC